CATTGGTTATGTGTGAAACATGCCTTGACACAGCTACCAGCCGATGCATCTGACATCACATATTTAAACATTCCCCGAAAAAATTACTCCTGAACAGCGGGAAGTTTCTTCAGCCCACTCATTATGCCGTCCCAGAAAAATGCGTAGCCATCAACCACCTCTGCGTCCGGACCATCCACATGTATCCGACACGATTCTGCTTTCAAAACTTTCGCCATGTAACCCTGTAGTCTTCGAGCATGCAAGGGCAACTCAACAAGGACTGCCTTCCCTTGTACCTCTGCGGTCGAGGATCCGTCGGTTAATACAAGATGCACCCCACACAACATGAGCTTGTATCCTAACATCTTTGCAGGTCGAAGATCTGGGTGGTTTTCGTAGCCGATGACCTCCGCAAGTTTAGATTCGTTGGCAAGAGCGCCGTAGAGGAAGTACCATCCGGTCTTGGGGCCATCGTTCTGCCAGTCTGCGGAATACCACTCAGTGGGGGCGTAGCATACGGAGCTTGTTGACATATCTTCAGCATAATAAGTTGGACGAGGTGTGTTAGAGATATCGTTTTTCTTTTCTTCTCCAGGCATAAGCACTCGTGAAGTTACTGCGTTGCGCCGTCAATAGATTGGGACTCCGAGACTATATCCTGGGATTGTTCTCGTCACGTAGGTTAAGCTGTACCCAGTACGATGGGTAAACAAATGATGAAATGGGTTGGTTAACCAATATACACTGCCCAAGATAAGACTAATATAATCAGGTAGCAAGAGGTCTCTATGTATGGTCAGAAACCGTTGTTGATGTTTGTCGGAGAGCAGGTCCCCGTCCCGCTATGATTAAGGGCCAGGGTGTAGCCCCTCTTTTGGTTCTCTCATACACTATTTCACCCGAACTCCACGGAAGTTAGACTCGACAAATATTTTCTTGCAAATAGCAGTATGCATTCACAGTCATTTTGGTTGTTCGCCAGCAGCCAAAAGCTAATGCGAATCAAACAGAGGGAGAGAGTACTCCATATAGCACGATATGTCACTGACCGCGGCCGGCATTTCTTTGCCGAAAGGGCACAGTCTTGGCGCGTATTATGTAACTAAAGCTACATGAGTGTCCAATATAAATTTCCCTGCACCAAGTGATGCGACTCCGCGCAAACTCTCCAAACCACTACTCATGGGTTGGTTTCACAGGCCGTTTCCTCTGTTGGAAATTTGGATGTGGCATACCGGAGTTGAGTGAACTGCTCCTGGAAATCGGGCGATTGGCCGCTTCCTCAGTTTACCCGCCAGACAGCCAATTGCTAAATATGCCGAAGACGACTCCATTCTCCGTCCTTAGAATACGGGGGTTGACAGGTCGCTCCATAACTCACAATACTTCTTTACCAACAACGAGAAGCAATACATGCATACTCTGCCAACATAGGGCATGGCGGCCGTCAGCCGCTACTCGGAAATTCCATGGCTCACGAATACTATTAGCTGCCCCAGCATCCTTTCCGTCCGTGAACACCTCCGCTAGATCCGAGCCAGCCAGATCCCCGAATTTGGAGAAAACCTCGACGGATGAGGTAGAATCCCTCGTAAATAAACTTCCGGACATCACTACCCACTACACCATCTTCCCCAATGCCATTCCCGACCCACCACCCAAGGGTCCCTTCGACATCTCAGTCCCCGACCTTCGCCAGGAATTCCTCCGCCTTCAAGCTCGTGCGCATCCTGACAAGTATCCTACGGGCCTAACAAAACAGCACGCAGAGGCACTCTCCGCTCGCATCAATGAAGCGTACCGTGCGCTCGCAGACCCATTAAGCCGCGCCCAATACCTTCTCGCCTCTCAACATGGCATCGACGTGACGGCTGAAGACGGCGCCAAGGACCACCCTCAGGACATGGAGACGTTGATGCAGGTACTTGAAGTTCAGGAGATCATTGAGGAGGCGCAGGATGAAGTGACCGTTGCGAAACTGAAGGACGAAAATGAAGAGAGGATCAAGGGATGTGTTGCAGCTCTGGGAAAAGCATTCGATCACGGTGATATTGAGGAGGCGAGGAAGGAGTGCGTTAGGTTGAGGTTTTGGTATACCATTCGAGATGGATTGCGGGACTGGGAGCCCGGAAAGGATGTAAAGTTGGTACATTAGTTAGCTTACGGGAGCCTGTTCTATTTATGTTGTTTTGTTAACTATCTATCATGATAATATGCATATACCATCGGAATTCACATGAGTGATGAATCTAGCCTTATTAAATCTGTGGCGATTCCCCATGTTTTGCATTTAACACGGCCTGGGAGGAGAAGAAGAGGAGGAAGCATTGTCAAACTGGCAGGACATGCCTGCTTCTCAAATCTTTGCTGAATTTGAATTATTGCATCACCCGCCTGGTCTGAATCTGGAACCCTTCACCGCTCCATCTGTCTGTAACTGGGTCTGTGAGCTTGGTTGATGGATTTGTTTGGATTTTCTTTTTTTTGGTAAGCTCGAAATAACATCCATCACTCAGTAAAAACACAAACGCCAGCCCCAGTGATTATGAGACAACTCCATGGATTTAAAATATATACGAGGGAGTTGAGTTCTATTTGTATGATAGGTGTCAAATAGAGTCAGCAAATCTACCACTTGGTGGATACGGTCAACCACGGCTAAATAAACAGCAACTCTATATTCCCACCTCAAGGATAGCAATCGGGCATCAAGCATCAACATCCAGAAACCAAGCCATGCAGCTTCACTCTCACGCCAAGCAGCGGGCGCATCCGGTGCAACCCAATCGTCCTCCATGGTCAGCCACATAACCTTTTCTTGCCAGCAACGAACCTTACTAACACCAAAGCAACTGCATACATATGGCGAGCTAGCTAGGCTCATGCAGATGTTGTTTGAGGATCCGTTCTCTGCATTTTCTGCTGGCGTTCTCACCACCGAAAGCGCCCACGTAGCTTGATCCAAACAACAGGCGAGTGGCTAGCCACTTCTTCATGACGTCGTGAGCAGCAGATTACAGACATCCTTAGAGGGTGAAGCTTGCGAGAGAATGGCGACCCGACTGGCCCTGACTACAGAGACAGACAATGCATAACTATGAAAAAGCTGAGAACGAAGGTGTCAACACCATCTCCATCAGGGAATCCAAAAATATCGTCTTTTTTCGGGTCCTGCAATGCCTCAGAACTAACCCTAATGGGCGGCAGTTGACTTCATGCTCAATTTTTGTCTTCTTTCCCTGTACGGAGATGCTGAATGAAAGACCTAGCACCATTTATTGAGTGGCATCACAGATGGGAGGGTCCACTTGACGGCCTGCCACGACACCGAGTTAACTGGTCGCCCTGCTTCCAGGCTGGTTCCCCTCCCATATCAACATCTTCGCTGTATGCACGATGGTGGATGCATGTGACGTTGTCTCGGGCACGGTGACTGCAGGCGTTATCTAACTACGAAACAATCATAACGGGGGGAACCAGGCACAGTTAGCGCATGCTTTGTCCCATGTTTATGGCAGCGGTTGTTGCTGTTGGGCCGGCTAGAGATGAGGCGACGTGCACTGAATATAGCGCTGGATACATTATTTATTGCCATCGAGTGCAGCATAAAGGTTTCAAGTCTCTCCACATCGTGGTTTCTCTTCCCAAAAATTGTCTTTCGGCTTTTGTCACTTCTTCTGACAGTGGGAAAGAAGGTGAGATTTGTATTCTACGAACCATAATATTGTGATTATTTAATTTAGACATACATTACTGCATTTTCTGTCAAAATGACCGCTCCCGTACCAGACTTCCATAGGTACGTTGAAAAGAATCATAAATTCACCTATACCGATATGAGGCACTCTGGCACCCATTCCGGTCAATCCTGCACTTTAGGGGCATCTACTCAACTATAACGCGCTCAAGTGGGCTTTAACATATAAATCCACTCTGCAATGACAGACTTCCCGCTGACCCATCACTCTTCTCCATCATTGGACACAACAGCATTGTTCATTCGCCCTCCTTCACATTCCTCGTTGGCCCAGATCACACAAAACTTACCATCCAATCTGGGCTTGCCAAACATGTCTCCCAGCGGCTTGATGAGTTAATGAATAATGGACACACGCGCGAGTCGCGGCACCGGATCGCAGTCCTGGAGGAGGAAGATGTCGAGACCTTCGTTGGCTTCTGCGAGTATGCCTATACGGGAGACTACACAGTGCCCAATCCTAGAGCCACGCCAATCGGACACAGAGATAGCCAAGGAATGGCTCCGCCGTTAGCTTCTGCTATGCGTCCCCCGGCCCCATCTCCTCCAGTCACCCCACAGCCGGGGGAAGAGCCACAGGAAATTGTAGAAGGAGAAGGAGGGGAAGGTGAAGGTGTTGCAACTGCAGCTGCAGCGGGAGGAGTTAAGGCATAAGAGCTAGAGGGAGACGGAAATCAAGCGGGTGATTCCGGCAAGGGGAAGAAGGGAAAGAAGGGAAAGAAAAATCAAAAAGCGGGAAACCGAGCAAAACCTGCTCAGGATCTTGATGAAGGCATGGCAGCTAACATGACCCCTCCGAGAACACCTCCGCCAATGACAGGGGGACGGAAAGATGGGGACGAACAGGCCCAACAAGAAGCGACTGGAGGCATGGGAGCAGAAGACACAGAGAACATGAACCTCGAAGAAAGAGCCGCCGCAACTCCTGGTATACCCCCTTCAGAAGCTGTCTCCGCCGCCCCCGACTGGTTCGACTTCGAGCCAACCCCGAAACCTGAAATGCCTAAGCTTGGCCCAGCCTTCCAAGGGTCATTCATCTCCTCTAAATCTCGCGGTCTGGGACTATGGGGCGAATTCGCTTCCTTACAATACATCCACCACCAACGCGCCTCTGGCGGTATGACTCTTCCATCCCCCCTCTCTCGAAATACTCCCGGTTACGGTATTGCCGTCTCTGGCACTGAACCAGCCCCCTACCTCCTCTTCCATGCCAAGCTGTATGTCTTCGCCACGCGCTTCTTGATTCCAACCCTTGCACAGCTCACGCTGAAAAAACTCCATCGGGACCTCGTCTCCTTTCCGCTCTCCATGGCAACCACTGACCATCTATCTCCGATCAGTTCCTCTGCCGTCATCCAGCTGTTGCACTTCACATTCACGAGAACTAAACGTGATGACCCAGTCTTCTCGTTGACGAGCTCAGAACCTAGCGCGCAACGGCAGAACGAGCTGCGGAAGTTGGTCACGCACTATGCTGCGTGTAAGGTGAGAGAGCTCGCGAGCTACCAACCCCCCGCGCCCTCAGCAGCTAGTGTGGAATCCATGGATACACAGCATTTGGGTTTCAGGGATTTATTGGATGCATTGGGCGAATTGGCATCGGACTTGGTCTATCGGATGATGTGATACGAGCTTTGGGTCTTTTGCATTTGTGGGCTGCTTGCATTGCATTTCCCTTTTTTCCTCCAAATTTGTCATCTACGTTTTGAAAAAGGGGATAAATCAGGATTAGGGGATAAGTAAAAGGGACCGGTGGAGTTGTAGGTTCTCTCGCTCTTTCTCCCCCTCCTCCTGCTCCATATTTTATATTTATCCTTACTCTCCTTAAAGCCACCCATATTTTGTTTATCCCGTCTACGAAGCTATGACAACTTTCTCCCTCTTCTATAAATTAATATACCTATGTCACATCCACTCATATGCTTGCTCATTTGGCATTTCAGTATTGGCGTCTTTTTTGTCTTAGGTTTTCTCTATCCCATTTTTAACACGGTTCCAACCTTTGTATTTCCCTCAATTAATTTATATAGTTAATCTTTCTTTTGTATAAACTCCATTTTTTCAAGAATTCCTTCTCTTTGCGGAAATCAATCAAGTCAACCAAGCTCCTAATCCACTCTTCCGATCCCCTGACTTCGATAATGTTGACGCATGGGTGTAGTTCATGCTTATTTTGTGTTACCATTTTGCTATTATTCATGCATTCAACAGTTAAAAATTGGCGTAGATTAAGCTTTGCAGTTTTCTTTTATTCCCCGTCAGTAAAAAAGGCGGGTTTTCCGGAGTATTCACTATTAAAACAAGCACGGTGGATCCTAGGCTAGGGAATAGGAAAGACGGCGCACAAACCCAGCTGATATATTCTTGAAACTTATGTATGTTTACTATACGCCAGAAAGTGGTCATAGAAAGGACTCGTGGAAACGTCAGCGAAGTCTTCTCAACTTAAAATGCTAGTTAACTATTCAAAAAGAAGGGGGAAAAACATGGCTGTAGGAAATTGAGGTAAGAGGGTGGGAAGGAGGAAGGAATAAAGGAGAATAGCTGGTTCAGATAGATGATAAAATTAAATGACATGAGAAGATGAAGGTAGAGCACTAGTTTGTTCAAACGCAAGAGGCATAGAATAGAGTAGAAGCGAAGAATGAGAATGCAAGAGAGGGGGCCAAGAAAACGGAAACAGGGAATTTAATAAAGAGACGAAACATAAACATAATATAATGATGAAGATGATGCAGTGTAATGGGGCAAAAAATGGAGAAGAAAAATTGAAAAAAAGGGGATGGAGGCAGGAAAGGGAGAGAGAACATGCGAAATACGTGCCACGATACACAGGGCTTTCTCCTGTTAATTGTGCAGGAACTGA